TTTCCCTAGGAATCGCAGAAAAACAATTCGTGTCCAGTACTCATACAAACCATGAGCGGCTTCCTAGCAAGAGAGAAAGCACAGCTTTGTTGGACCTCAATACCTATTTATTACAGATAAAGACCCTGGGGCTTGGGTTTATTAAAGGAGTGGTTTTTAACCTCGGCTCACGTTTGCTAGCTCAGCCCTGAAGTGCCGGGGACGGCACAGCTGGTTTACCGAGAGCTGGATTTACTGAGCTGACCTGCGCAGGGGCACAGGATGGGATTTGGCACAGGTACCTCGCGGAAATGAGGGTTCCTGACACTAGGTAACTGCCGCGTACCAGCTAGCCAAGAGCTTTTCTTAAAGCTGTAAACCCAACCTCTAATATAAGGAGGTAAAAGTACCTATTTTTACGTGCCAGCAGCCATCTAGGTGGTGGTGGATGGAAATTCGTGTCGCAAAGAGGCTCTCGCTGAGGTTATCGTCCCTCCGAGACTGTAACGCAGCCCCGTCCCCAAAAGAGCCTGTGATTTAAGCGTTTTGCAGAGACAAGCGTTGAAGCAGAAAAGGCACGGACCAGAACCAACTTGTCCCAGAGTGAGAACGCGACCCGGGGGCTGCAGCAGCCAAGCCAGAGCTGGGGGTTAGCGCCCAAACCGTCGGGTTACGCTGCTTTGAGAAGCGGAATAAACCGCTGCTGTAGTTGCCTCTGTCCTGCAGCTCGTACCCGTACGACTGCGCTGCGGAAGGGGTGCGTCCCTGCACACGAGCAGTTAGGGTGTCTCTCTCTACCCCACGCCTATACATTAAATTTATCTGCGATGAGACGCTTCCACTTCTGCTGTGTGTGCACAGACGCGGCTTTGGAGAAGGAAAACAAACCCCCCAAAAACCGTAGGACGTGACAATTGGGAACGGGCAAGAGGAACAGCGCGTCTCCCCCCTCCTGGGCTAACACGCTCTTTCCAAGCTCCAACAGTTCACACAGACATCTCCAACTTCAAAAAAGGTTCTTCCTCGGACAGAACCGAGAGACAACAATGACAAAATCCTGACGTGTTCCCCTCGGGGATCCCAGCTTCGAGGCAAGCACGCGTGCGCCTTTCCCCAGCCCGCGGCCCAGGCGAGCCGCACCAGGGACCGGAGGCCCCCGGGTAAACACTCCGGCACGGGACTGTAATCACCTGCAGATGTCCGGATGCGAAACGGGTCACATTAGAAAAGCAAAATTAGAGCACGTTAATCAATATTAATGTCGACAGTCCCAAGGTTCACCCGAAGGCTAATTCCAACGGCCACGTGCAGGAAGAGCGCAGCAGGGATTTGCTTTCTGAGTTTCACCAGCATTAAGAGTTTGGCGTAACCAAAGCGCGTCGAAGTAGGCAGCGGACCTGACGCCGTGCACGGTCCCTCCGCCCGCCAAGCGTTTAAAGAGGGGGAGAGCCCGGATGAGGTTCGCAAATCACGTAGGGACCAAGCAGAGAAGGAGCTTTTGGGTGAGCATCGACGGCTGGAACCATCCAACCACCCGCCTCCAACGGCCGAGAGGATCCAAACGCCTCTCCTCCGCCCAGCCGAGCGTTTCAACACCCGGGTTCCCCCCCAGACCACTTTTAACACACCCAGTAAAGCCGGGCTAATCCTTCTCCTCCAAATACATCTGTTCCATGTGCGCTGGATGCCCGAAGCACCAATCCCAGCGTGCAGCGCGATGCCAACATCCCGGTGCCAGCATCTTGGAAGTACAACGCTCCACGTGTGACGAGCAGCCATACATCGCTCCCTCTTGAAAACAAGTTTCAGCTGACCTGGATGCAAGAGAAAAAAATAAAAAAACAACCCAAAAGAAAAAAGCTTTCTGGTTTTCTGTGGCCATCTAATCCAGCAGCTCTTTGGATTACCGATGTGCTGGGTGTTTGCCTTGGTTTTCGAGCGCACGTCTACCCACCGACAGCCAGAGCGACTGCTTCCAGTCGCTACGCAGGAAAGCGTTTACGGCACAGACCCCGAGTAATGCTGCAGAAAGGAAAGAGAAATAAGGAGGACACCAACCGCACACACTGCTTCCTGGGACTTTTTTTTTATTTTTATTTTTTTTTTTTAGTATGGAGGCTCAAGTATCAGATGTAGATTCAATTTAAGCTTTACAAAAAACAAAATCAAAACAAAAACCCCTTTTGCATTCCATAAAAATTGACAGAAAAGCGCCTTGGAACCAGGCTATAGAAGAGCAGGACTTTCAGCAGGTCTCCTAATCAACGTCTCCTTGCAAATCTGGTTTAGTCAGTATAGTACAACACCGAGGAACACCCTCTCTTCCCTCCCTCCCACCAGCCGTCCCCTGTGCCCAGCCCCCAAACATACGTGGAATAGATTTTTTTTTTTTTTCCAGTTCTTCCTCTTTCACACACCACAGTATTTAATAAATTTTTGTTTTACATTTTTTACACCAATGTAACAAAAGGCAGGAGGGGGTGGGAAGGAAAAGACAAACAATGATCCGTGTTTATGCATATAAATGGGAGAGGGTGGAAGAGGGGGGGAAAAAAAAAATACATGGACTCATACAGAAACGTAGCCTAAGGTCTCAATAGTAAAATGTGGTGCAAAGTAGGCCTCAGAGACTGAAAAAGTTTGTACAGCTTTATTCATGGGGAGAAGATGCTGCTGCATGAATAGTATTGAATGCAAATCGTGACGTGACGTAACAGAAAAGGGCAAGGGGGGGATGAGTTTTCTAAGAAAGGAATCTAACGAGTGCATGGCATGTCTTGTTAGCATGAAGAGTATTTTAACTTTGCTGCTTTCTCTTCAAAGCCTCCACCAGGTCGTTTTTAAGAGCTTCTTGTTTTGATTTGTCTGCAAAAGTCTGCACAGACCTGTGGGGAAGAAGGAAACGCAAGTCAGAGGCGACGCATTTGAGGGAAGGCGTTCCTAACAGTTCTTCGGGCACGTGAGTCAAGAGGAAGGAGAAGCACCTCAACCCAGGCTTAGAGGAAACAAAACTCAGCTTGCCTGTTTTAATACGGAAAGCAGAAGGCGAAGTGAACGCTTCAGTGAGTATATCAGAGGAAAATTCACTCTAGCAAGGATGGCACCAAAAGACACGCTTCCCCAGAAGTTCCGCCTCCAGTTGCTGGAGGGAGATTCCCAATTTCTTACGTTACAGATCGGAAAAACCCCAGTGTACCACCAGCGAAGGGTGTTAGCGCTCTCGCTCTCCAAATGACCGTGACGGGAAGGCAGAGAAAGTCCAGCCTCTACCCACGAACGTGAAAAGGGCCGGGCTGGGGAAGCTCCTGAACCTTTTTGCAGACTGTTCACCCAGGGTCGAGCAGCCGCGTCAAAACCTCCCGCCAGCGTATTCACCAGTGGGAAAAGCGGCCAGAGTTTCTGTTCTCCAATTTGCTTTTCCAGTTTGTACCTTACCTAGAGTAATTAGCGCATAAAAGCAGCCAGAGAAGAACAGAGATACTGTCAGTGAGATTATCGCAGGGGTTCCCTTTTGCTAAAAGTTTGGTTATAGGAAAAAAAGAGCTACGTCTTTTCTCATCTTGTCTCACTGCCCTCTGAGACAGCTGCGGAGGAACCTCCATTTTCAATGGTACAATAAGAGATTTCCAATTTTTTAAAAAATCCTCTTAAACATGATCATTGATAGAATAATAGTAATAGACTTTTCAGGAGCTGCCAACACAGAGAAGTGGTTAGGATCCAGGTTGGTAGGATTTCTCCCCACATAAACCATATTTCACACCCTTTTCGGTACTCAAAGCTACCTCATTTTGCCTGGATGCTGTCTCCTGTAAACAAGACCGCTCTTTGTGTCAGTTATTTTCCTAACATTTTTATAACAGTATTTCCATTCTCTTGTCTCTGGAGACTTCCGCTGCTTTAATAAAAATATATACATTTTATATTTGCATTTGTCACAGGCTAAAGGAGCAGTTCTCTGCCATTATCAACAAACAGTGCATTTTCCCCTTCGTCAGCTTAACGTGTTTAAGACAACATCTGTAACTCATTATGAATCGGAGTGGAAGGTTAAACTGGCTCAGGGTTAGTCACTGCCGTGCGCCCTAGACATTCAGAGCTCCAGAGCAAACGAGAGCGTATGAACAAATCCCTTCAGAGGCTGTGCAGAGCACGAGCAAGTGGAGGCTAGAAACGTTTCAGCAGAGCTGGAGCAGGACTGGATTTCAAGCTCCAAGGAAGTTCAAGATACACCAGGCAAACGGGGGATGTGCATGTGGGGTGAGCTCACGTTTACTCAGAAGTCACAGGACACACAAGTCTTTTTTTTTTTTGTCCCCCAAACTGCGAGACTTCCAAGATTTCATTCCTTTCTGCAGGGAGGAGGCTAAGATTACGGGCAGTTTCTTCACTGAAGCAGTGCACCGCAGCTGTAAAAAACTGATGGTGCACAAGGGACAGAGTCCCAGGGCTTCTGGATCGAATCAGTCCGAGCTAGCACCCCTTCGGGTACGTGACCACATGCTCCTTTCTTGCTCCCAAGCTAGAGTGCAAAGTGACAAGTCCTGCCACATTTCAGAGCGTGACATGGCAAATGGGGCGAAGGGGTGGAGTAACATTGAAAATAAAAATCACAGCATTTAGTTGGCCGTATTAAGAAATAACCCTTGGGTGAAACACGGCTCAAACGTCGTTTATCAGTCTGCGGGAGTTAGGGGTTAGTTCTGGTCTCAGTTATCATGCAGAGGTCTTTGGCTGGGTGAGTCCTGGTTTAGTGCTGGTTGTCACACCTCACAGGCAGGGGGTACCTGGATTGGTTTAGTTATCAGGCTGGATGTAGATCTGGCGCTGGGTCAACACTTGAGAAAGCTCCCTCTGCAACTGCTTATACTTTTGGTTGTCGGGGATAGCATCAATAGATCTACAGAGAGCAGTTTAGAAACGAGGGAAGTAAACAGGGAAAAGAACAGTCAGAAGAACTCAGTAACACAGAGCTGGTATTCTGGAAACCACCAGGAGCACGCTCAGGAAGAATAAGTGTAAATACATAGGTTAGAAGGAACAGGGAAAAGGCTAGAGGAAAAGCCAAAGCCAGACGCTCTGTATGTTACCAGTTCTGAGCAGCTCATCTCACCGATGCACAAAGTACCATGACTCAAACTGAGCAACGAGGAGACATAGGAAATAGATTCAATTACAAAAGCTTAAGGCAATGTTCACAAGGAAAAAGACCGTATTACATATTTCCTTTTAACGTTAATAAATGCTTCCTGGCTAAACCCCTGCACACCACAAATGAAAATAGAGGCCTGTTATGAAAGCTGGGGTTTGGAAAAAAAGCCCAGAACAGCTGCTTCCTCACATACTGTCGACTCCCTCTGCCCATGGCAGCACAAATATTTCATTAGCACCATTATTCTATCTTCTTTCACATTTCAGTACGTGGGAGAACAGCAGTATACTTATTTGCACCGTTTGTTTATTCTACATTATCACACTGTGCTAGGAGATCTAGCTGCAGTTTGAAGTGAAACAATTTGGCATCAGAGTTCTGTGCTTTCCTCTACAAGCGTGAGAGCTACCAGCTTGGGATGTCTATGTAAAATTCCTGACCCGAAATGAGCAGGGGTTGAAAACTACGGTACAGTTGCCCTACAGAAAGGCACAGGGGGTTTATTCACTTAATCTGTTCTAGTACACTATGTTTTCACCAGCGGCGTTGAGGGAAAGACAGAATTTAAAACAAAGTCTAAATACCGCAAACCATTACTGTCATGACTTAATTCTGGGACCAACTGACTGTTTTTAGGAATAGTAAAAAGAGAAGTCAGAATTTAAGTACAACTTTCAGGACTGTGAAGAATAAAACTCCCAATTAAAAATCATTCCGAAATACAAGTGTTGCTAAATGGGCTATTTTCTTCCTGGTGAGGGAACAAGGGATTAAAACATCGCTTCAAATTTCTATAGTTACAAGGTAGAAGCGTTCCCTAAACTCCACACAACAAATAATGTTTCCAAAGCACAGCGAGGTGAACAATTAGGGACATTAAAAGACTTTGTGTACGAAAGGGGAGTTCCAGCAAACAAGAGCACATCAACGCTCGGCTGGGGTCTGTACCACGGGCGCTGCAGGGGAATGCAGGGAAGCAAAGGGGTCCCATAGTCAGCTGGAGAGCCCCTTACCTCAGCCCATTAACGATGTCCTTTGTTTTTCCAAAATAAATCTCATTCAGTGTACTTCTGATTTTGTTTTCCATGTCCTAGGAAAAAGGTGAGAAATCAGACCGTTAGTCACGTTGGCTGTTTTCAGGAACGGCGCGCTCACATTCTTCTGTGCTCATCCTGATGCCCAACGCTTGCCGCAGCATGGTTCAGCCCAGCGTACTCCTACTATTTCAATTCTCACAGAGGACAAGATGACCCTATCTCTCTGCTGTTATCAAAGAAATAGCTCTGTTCCTGTCCTCCCCTCCGAATTCGTTGCTCCAGGCTATGAGACATCTTTTCTGGGCCACAAGAGGGCAGCTGCTGCCCACCTATCAATTTTTCTTCATTCACTTGCAGAAAAGGAAAACGCGTTTCACCCCAACCCTACTCTCTAATTTTCTGGCACTGAACAGACTTAAGTGGGAAGTCAGTCATTTAGTGTAACCAACAGGTCAATAGTTTTGCGCTTATGGGTTACTTTGAATTTTTGAGCTGGCGACTCGCTTGTTAAAGCTGCGTGGCAAACAGTTTTGAGAGAGATCTTGTAAGCAAGCAGCATTTTTTCATTAGGTCGCTTTCACTCAAGCCAGAAACTTAGAAAAGGGATCAAAAAAGAAGTACCTGCCTTCCTTTCATTTCCCAGTTCCTTTAAAAAACACATTATAGTCTATTTTAGTTGAGAATTGTTTCCTCTCTTGCCAAAGTGGCTATGAAGAACAAGGAAACAAGTGGCTATGAAGAACAAGGAAATCAAGAACACCTTCATACAGGACAGTGCAATGAAACAGCAAACTGGTGTTGCACCAAAGCCCTGCTGAGCAGCTGACACAATCAGATCCTTCGCTCCTCATGCTGAGCATACCTGACTGACAGCTGCCATAAAATCAAAGACTAAAACCAATTCCAGTGGATTTAATAAGCACTTGATACACACTGAACTTTCAGGTAAAGGGACAGTTCTGTATAACACAACCTGACTTTAAATAATTCTGCCCAAAAGTGACTACGGTGGCACGAGGGTAGGAAATTGTTAACCAGTTCTGAGGAAAGGACCACTTATTTTATGGGAAGGTTACTGCCGTAATGAGCAGGAGACAAAGTACAGAGTGGCGTTTTTCTGTCTACAAACTGTTGGAAGACATGATAGGAGGAGTATTGAGCCATCGAACACTGAGCAACATTAGCACAATTAGACCTGATACAGTATGAGTAACTAACTTGTTTGTAAAGACAAAAGCAAGCGTACAACAAAATTCTTAGACATGGGATCAAACACGTGCAAGAGAACCTGCAGCAGGCTCAAGCTGTGGTGGCTTCACAGCACCTACCTCTACCAAGCGTCCGATATTGGCTATGTGGGGAGAGGAGTCGCTCACAGTCTCGTCTTTCTCCATCTAGAAAGGAAAGACACGGGTCCATTGGTAACATGGAAATTTGATGGCAGACGCACGACAGCTTTCCTTATCAAGAGAAGGGATGGAAGAAGTGGGTCTCAAAATCCGAGAGTAACTATTCTTTCAATGTGCAAACAGACGAGTAACATACTGAGAAATTCCCAGAACTAGACGCAGGCTCACATGTTGATAACAGAAACGTAGTGTAATAAAAACCATGAATCAAAATAAAACCCTGATGTAGATCCCTGGTGTAGACAGGCACTACAAAATTGTCATTCCCTACCTACCAAGGGGCTGCAGGAGATCTACGGTAGCGAACAAGTAACACGACAAGAAGCACAGTAGCACAGCATGTGGATGTGAAAACAAGGTCATCGTCGATGTGACGCACACAAGGATGGTACTGTCAGTTTAACAGCTGCAAACTATCCCTGCAAAAACAGCTGTTTCTTTTAATCTTCATCTCAAACGCTACTTCCGACCACATGTGGGGCACGTCCTCCATTTTCAGGATCTCCTGGCAAAAGACACCTTAGGCATTATTTACCTTCCAGTAGAGAGGGGAGCTGCAGAGAATACAAAGCCCACAACTACCTGCAAGACTGGTGATGATTTAAACTACTGCAATAATACTGAAAGGAAATTTAACCGTTTGTAG